AAAAACCCCCCCCCCCCCCGTATTGTGTAATATTAGAAACGTCGTTAATAATAAATGACTTGGAATAAAATAAATATTATAGAGGTATATTTTAAACGACACCGCCCTGATTGAACATGATGAGTGAATGATCATTTAATGTTGCACCGTATATTACCAACGGATATCCGGTTGTCTTGTTTATCATGTGATAATTAGGTTTGACATAATAAAAGTCGTAGTGTAACTTTGACGTTGAAAATGAAAGGGTTTTTGGTTCTTCTGGGTTTATTAGGTAGGTTCATTAACATGCTTATATTTAGTTTATAATACTAATTTCTTTTAAATGTAATTGTGTTTTTGTAAACAATGTGGAAATATATTTCATTTGCAAGGCGAAAACGTTGTGTACACTTTTCTCCACTCATGAATGAAACTGGTCTCGGACTGTTTTCACCCTGGATCTTCATCCTTGCCTTGTCCTTGTGAATTAATTTGTAATTTAAACTGTTAATTCCCAAATATTTCTGTCAAAAATTGTATTTATAAGGCATGTGAGCGTAAATTTATGTGTATGGAACCTACCTAGTATCTTCACCACTCTGATGCCGTCTCAGCTCCGTTGGATGGGACACGTAGCCCGTATGGCAGACCACCGGCTCCTGAAACAATTATTCTTCGGAGAACTCACGATAGGTAAGCGCTCCCAAGGAGGCCAAAAAAAGCGTTACAAAGACTCACTGAAAGTGGCACTAAAGACTAAAGGCCTTCAGCATAAACCCTACTCAATGGGTGCGGACAGCCCAGGACAGAGCCAGGTGGAGAGCTGCTGTCAAGAAGGGGGCTAAATCCCATGAAGCTAATAGAATAACCACAGCTGAGACACACAGGCTTGTCCGAAAGAGCAACATTAGGTCATCGTCTGAAGCAACTATTCCATGCCCACAGTGTCATAGATTATTCTGAGCAAGGATCGGTCTAACAAGCCACCTAAGAGCTCACCGTAATCCCAACCCCCCCGCCCGCCCCTAACCGGATGATTCGATGGTCCTTGTCGACTTCGACGGACGAACAACAACATGTGTATGGATAATGCATATATTAAGCCTATCGCTATTGACAATTGAAGAACCTTGAGATGGAGTTCCTCAAACCAGTGCAACCTTTTTTTTTTTATATACTGGTAACATCTTAACTCCCCAAAAACACCTGAGACTGAGAGCCAATAGTCCTCACTATTACCGGTACTCAATTAAGCCCAGCTGAGTTAGGTTTAATTCAGATGTCAATGCACACTTTGACTTTGTAATGTCGGGATGGGTAAATGCAGATATTTGGTGCCATGTATGTACTGTGTGCCTGACGTTTCGCTCCTGAGTTTCTGATGCGTGACCTCCCATTTGTTTAGTCACGGAATGTTACTAGAGTTAATTATTCTCTATTTTTTGGTATTATTATTAAGTGCATTACCCAGCCTAGGGCTAGGCTCATTGCACTTTACATAAAAATTAGCAATTACAGAAAATTATACATTTTAAACAATTGGTAAAAAGCTTAACCTCATCCACCCAAGTACTATCTACCCATGCTTAGTCATGGACAGCACCCAGCAGCATCAAGCATTGTTTATCAGTTAGAGTTGGGGGGGAGGGGAGAATGAGTCGGTATAGTAAAGTTTAAAGAGATGGGTTTTGAGGGCATTTTTGGAGACTAGGATGGTCAGTATATTGCGGATGTGTAATGGGAGAGAATTCCATTGCTTGGGGGAACAGAAAGAGAAGGATCGTTAATCATATGTCATATGTTTTAGTGCATTTTCTGAGAACAGAAAGAATATGCATGTCTGCAGATGAACAAAGCTTATGAACGTGGGGTTAGACAGAAAGAAGTTCAGTAAGATAGGAACCAAGAAAAAGTTGTGACAGAACAGACAGCTCGTAATCAATGCATGTCTGTAAAGGGAGTCAATGGAGGCGGCAAGTAGTGGAGTGACGTGATCACATTTCTTGGCCTTTAGAACCAACCTATTAACTGAGTTTTGACCTTTCTGAAGTTTTTCTATGAAATGTTTTGGTGAACCTGACAGAAGAGAGTTACAAAAGTCAAGACAAGAGAAAACAAGAGCACAGACTAGTGTTTTCATTACGCTAACTGTGAGGTAGTGGCGGATGGAGCTGATCTAACGGATAGAGGTGTACTCAAAGTGACAGATGTGAGAAATATGATTATTGAAAGACATGTCAGAAAGAATGTAACCAAGATTCCAAGCAGAGGATGTGAACTCTATATCGGAGCTACCTGCTTGAAATGAGATGGGGAGAACTGATGGAATGTATGTCATAGTGTGTGGTTAATTATATTTCAAAACGAGTTTATTTTGACCGTATGATCATCTGATCTTGTTGTAAAAAATGGAATGTGACTTATAAAAAAATCGTTTGGATTTATAAAGTGTATTCAATGAAACTGTAGGTTGGGTTTTAACTTAAGTTTATTTCAAATTTATGATAGTTGATCTTCTCATTACAGACGCATTACAGTGTGTAACTGTAGCACATTCACATGAACACATGACTTTAGGGTTCATGTTGACGTCAGGTCACATATTTAAGGTTTCAATATTTGCACTCGGGTTGGTGGAGGGGGGAGGGACGACGACTAAATTTAGGGTTATATTTACGCTTGAGTTATGGATACTGACTTAGCATTCAGGTTAGGCTAGAGTTGTAGATTTTAGGCAGCAGATGTGTTTTTGCACTCCTTTTTTTTATACAGAGGTATTTAGCCTGGAGTCTGGGAAATACACATGTAACAAAGTAAAACGATGCAAGGCCTATACAATACAATGTTGGTGAAAAAGTGATGCATATTGCCATAAGTCTAAGTGGGGTCAAAAATTCTTGGAGATAACTTAAAGAAGGCTCAATAAATAAAAATAAAATTTCAAAAACAACTAAATGAATGTGGTTAGAATGTAGGCAAAGTAATAGCAATAAAAAAAATTCCTATGTCTCCGATCTCAAGTTAAAAAGGCTTTAAATAAAACATATCTTTAATACAGTTACTAGGTTTGAGGTTGAGTTGATACTAAATTAAAGAATGCGGTTCTGAAGCGTGGATTAAATTGCTCTATTGAGCAGTTATAGCAGTTAGGTTTTTCCAGTACAATATCTCTATTGTATATAGGTATTTTGTTTAGCACACTCAATAAAATGATTGGACTTCAATAATATTTACATCAAATATTTAAATATGAAAATTGATGCAAACAAGTCAAGTTTTTTCCACAATTTTGATCGATTGTTTAAATGTTCATTCCAATTCATCTACAAATTTTTATTTGTATAGGGAATTATGAAAATAAGTATAATAAATAATCCAAATTTTTCTTTACAGTTGTACAGTGTACTGGCCAGCATCTTCATGTGAAGCATGCGCCATCTTACATTGTCTTCCAGCAACAATCATCTGACACGCCAGTCAAGTCGGGGGATCTTCACAAGGTGTTAGCAGGACCCCTTGGCCTGGAAAAAGTAAATACACTAGCATTACTCAAGCAATGGTGTCGTTAAGCTTATTTTGTAAAGCTTTTGTCTTTGGATGCGACGATTTGCACCCGGGTACCAGACGTGAGGGGTTGAGATTAAACAACTATTTAAAATGGCATTGTTATGTTTGTGAGATGAAATGGGGTATCAAATGAAAGATAATTGAATGGACTATATGTTTGTAAACTTAGTTCTTCAGTTTAACTATAAAAAAATTGCATCCGATGGAATTTAGTCTAAAGGGACCCGGGTCTGAATAGCGCTATACATACCCCGGTCCCTTTAGACTAAATATAGGCAATATATCTGCCCTTATGTCTACTTTGGTTTAGTCATTAAGTTTAAAAGCCTTAGAAAATTAAATTTCAACACTGATACTATTTAGCTTATCAGATCCGAAAACTGTCTTTAACAAGCCTTGTGTATTTTCAGAGCAATCCCATTATTCAATCAAAGTCCCTATTGAAGAAACCCAAAGCTAATGTACTGATAACAATTGCTACACACAAGGACCAACAGCTAAATTTTGATGCTTTGAAAATAATTCCAGTGGATTGGGTAAGTTAACAGATTGTATATCAAAACTTGTATATTTTTATAGGATTAGTGAAAGTACGCAACCTTAAGATTGATTAAGTTGCTTTCTATTTTATTTTAAATTTAATTTGCAATATTTTTAAAGGAATATTAAAAATCAGAATTAATGTTGATAATTTAACAGCTCCATATGGTTAATATTAAGGACTTTTCCCCCATGAACAGACTGACTCTAATGTGGATGTTGAGCATATGATGAACAATGTAGAAAGCAAATTTGTGGCCCCAGTTACGCTTGACATTGTTTCAACTCCAGCGGTAAGTTTTATTTTATGATGATTCTTAAACGGAGTCTTGTGCGCACTAAGCTGAGTTTATTCGAAATAATAAAAATCATACTGTCTGCATCTGTCAAGTGGATGTAGTTTTATTTTAAATTTTCTATTTTCATTTTCTTTTGGGTAGTATTTCAATGTCAAGACCGCTACGTCCATGTTCCAAGATCTGCCTTCCTCCTTGTCATCTGCACGAGAACGTTTAATTGAAAATAACTCCTTCATGGTACGAATTGGTAAAAAGCTCCACACTTCACCTTTGAACTCCAGCCGCTCATGTGATGGAGACCTTCTTGCAGAAATGAAAATACTTGATGAAGTCATTGCAGTTGTAAGTGACTCTTATGCAGACTTTATCTGCTGTTTTCAATTAAGGTTTGTAAAGATATTAAAGACGGTGTAAGCGTTAATTTAATTTGATACATAAGTGCAAATAAAGAACTAGATCGGTTTCTCATACAACTACAGAATAGGTACTGTTATCTGTAAATTTAACTTTAATTTTTTTTAAACTTGTATAAACTATACTATTAAAAAATTGTGTTTTTCAGCTGAAGAAGAACTCGGCTAGCTTGGATACTAAGGCTCCTGATCTTTTATCTTTCACCTTATCTGGCCTGAAGTGTGTTGTGGATAAATATGGTGTCAATTCCATTGAGGCCAGAGAAGCCAAGGATATTGTCATTAAACACCTGAACACGGTACTGACTCCATTTCATCATATATCAAATTGATTTGCTGGTTTTTTACTAATATCAATTGAAATCTTGATGTTTCCGTTGGTTGTTTTTGAGGATTGTTAATTCCGTTGAATCGAAATCAATTATGAAGTGGGTTTCCTTTTAAAATAGAGGTGAGACGCAGATGATTTGATTGTAAACAATGTTTAGTTTCACACTTGCATACTTTTTTATTGTTGTTTGCTCCAGGTGACAGAGGATCTAAAGGCAATATACCATGATAATGTGATGGTAGTCTTACTGACCGTGCCAAATGTTGAAGGTGTTCAAGTGAGAAAGACAAGGAGTTTGATGCAGGCTGCAGAACCATCAAATCAAGTGGATGTAAGTAATGAAGTGTCTTTGCTTAAGCCACATGTAAAAATATCATTTTATAAATAAATTTGAGTTGTTAAATTTTAGAAGGTAAGGGGTTATCAGGCCGCCACCCAAAAGCAACTAGTTGTAGAAGTGTGTTTGAGGCCAACTGCTCACAAACCAAAAGTAGCTAGTTGAACTGGTGTGTTCAGGGCCAACAGCTCACAAACCAAAAGTAGCTAGTTGAACTGGTGTGTTCAGGGCCAACTGCTCACAAACCAAAAGTAGCTAGTTGAACTGGTGTGTTCGAGGCCAACTGCTCACAAACCAAAAGTAGCTAGTTGAACTGGTGTGTTCAGGGCCAACTGCTCACAAACCAAAAGTAGCTAGTTGAACTGGTGTGTTCAGGGCCAACTGCTCACAAACCAAAAGTAGCTAGTTGAACTGGTGTGTTCAGGGCCAATTGCTCATAAACCAAAAGTAGCTAGTTGAACTGGTGTGTTCAGGGCCAACTGCTCACAAACCAAAAGTAGCTGGTTGAACTGGTGTGTTCGAGGCCAATTGCTCATAAACCAAAAGTAGCTAGTTGAACTGGTGTGTTCAGGGCCAACTGCTCATAAACCAAAAGTAGCTAGTTGAACTGGTGTGTTCAGGGCCAACTGCTCAGAAACCAAAAGTAGCTAGTTGAACTGGTGTGTTCAGGGCCAATTGCTCAGAAACCAAAAGTAGCTAGTTGAACTGGTGTGTTCAGGGCCAACTGCTCATAAACCAAAAGTAGCTAGTTGAACTGGTGTGTTCAGGGCCAACTGCTCATAAACCAAAAGTAGCTAGTTGAACTGGTGTGTTCAGGGCCAACTGCTCATAAACCAAAAGTAGCTAGTTGAACTGGTGTGTTCAGGGCCAACTGCTCATAAACCAAAAGTAGCTAGTTGAACTGGTGTGTTCAGGGCCAACTGCTCATAAACCAAAAGTAGCTAGTTGAACTGGTGTGTTCAGGGCCAACTGCTCATAAACCAAAAGTAGCTAGTTGAACTGGTGTGTTCAGGGCCAACTGCTCATAAACCAAAAGTAGCTAGTTGAACTGGTGTGTTCAGGGCCAACTGCTCATAAACCAAAAGTAGCTAGTTGAACTGGTGTGTTCAGGGCCAACTGCTCATAAACCAAAAGTAGCTAGTTGAACTGGTGTGTTCAGGGCCAACTGCTCATAAACCAAAAGTAGCTAGTTGAACTGGTGTGTTCAGGGCCAACTGCTCATAAACCAAAAGTAGCTAGTTGAACTGGTGTGTTCAGGGCCAACTGCTCATAAACCAAAAGTAGCTAGTTGAACTGGTGTGTTCAGGGCCAACTGCTCATAAACCAAAAGTAGCTAGTTGAACTGGTGTGTTCAGGGCCAACTGCTCATAAACCAAAAGTAGCTAGTTGAACTGGTGTGTTCAGGGCCAACTGCTCATAAACCAAAAGTAGCTAGTTGAACTGGTGTGTTCAGGGCCAACTGCTCATAAACCAAAAGTAGCTAGTTGAACTGGTGTGTTCAGGGCCAACTGCTCATAAACCAAAAGTAGCTAGTTGAACTGGTGTGTTCAGGGCCAACTGCTCATAAACCAAAAGTAGCTAGTTGAACTGGTGTTTTCAGGGCCAACTGCTCATAAACCAAAAGTAGCTAGTTGAACTGGTGTGTTCAGGGCCAATTGCTCAGAAACCAAAAGTAGCCAGTTGAAGTGGTGTGCTTGAGGAAAGTGGCTCACAAAATAAGTTGTAAAAATGCTCTATCAAGAATTCATGGCCTCTACCATTACAGGCTGATTTTAAGAATATGGTAATGTTACATGTCTTCCATGCTTACCACTGATAAAACCAGGGTACTGGACACAAAAACATTTTTGTTACAAAGTTATATCTTTATCAAGACTTAGAAGTATCTTCAAGCAAATTACTTTACCCATTTTCCCATGTTTGTTTTAAACAAACTCACTGCGTTGTGATTACGTCCCTTGTTCAGAAAGTCAAGCTGAGAAAATTAATCCAGCTCATAACTGGGCATTTTAAGGTTTTTAAAATCTGTATTAATTAATGGATTTTTTGTTTTGTTTTTAAACTCAACTTTTTTCTGTTTATAGTACTCAAAACTCAACTTGGAGATAGATTGGGATCAAGACTTCCCAGCAGCTTTCAACATTGTGCTGTGGATAATGATCATCCTTGCCATCACTGTGTTCTTTGTTGCCTATGGTATCTGGAATATGAACCCCAACCTCGAGTCTATCCTTTACAGAGTGCCACAAGATGAATTGGCCAAGAAAATCAATTAACGACTTTGAGAAAAGATGGGGATAAATTGATTTTTTACTTATCGTTTAAAAAAAAATGTAATGGCTGAGATTCATCGTTATACCAGTAATATTAAAAGAGAAAGTAGCAGTCTTTTTGGTTCCATGATTGTTTATTTTTTGGTCTGTGTAAACAAATAAAAATGATATGAAAATAATCCTGAGAGTATTTATGACCAAGAAATCTCAGTATAGCAGTAGAATAGTTTTAACACTATCAGGCAAAAGTTTAAATTTTAACTTTTTTGTTTTTGCATGCCAATATTTTTTAAGCTTGAAAGTGTCTGCATTCTGATGTTTTGTTTGTCTGATTATTTGTTAACGTGGAAATGGAAGTACTAATATTAGGAATTTTCACCTGGCTATTTTTTGGAGTTATGAAATCTAAACAATATTTTTTTCATGTACTGTAAATGCCAGAGTTAATCAAACACTAAAAAGTTCAGTATTTGAGTACTCCATGACAAAGAATGGTATTAAAAGATTGCTTTAATTATACGAGTTTCACTAATTGTTAAGATAGGATTTGATGGCATTCTTTTTATTGTGATATATTTTTTTTAGACTGACTGCTATAAAATATGATTGTTGTAATCTTTGTGCATTTGATCATGAACAGATGTTTTCATCCCACCCATTTTACATGCAAATGAGAGACCATCATAGCATGATTATTTGGGAATGGTAAGGAAGGCATTCACTACTTTTCTTGTTTTTACTGTACAGTGTCAGATCTTAGAGTGAAAGAATTTATGTGTTTTGAAGATTTGAATATGAAATTGTATTCATTTTACTTGAAAGACATTCCTACAAGGGTAGTTTAGATTATTTTTTGTTTATGTTGAGTATGAATGTATGAGGAAATACTTGGAAAAGATATAAACTATGCATGTGGGCTGGAAGCAGAAGCGATGTACATTGAATAAGGATAGAATTTTTATTGGGCCATAACATTCTGATGGAATGAGTCGTGTGTGGGTATGTATGTATGTAACATGTATATTTCATAGCATTCTTCAATTGAGTAACCAAGGAATTGTAATCTATTTATGTCATGAAAACATTTACTTTGTACGATTTGTCTTTTATTTTCTTCTTGATGTTTCATAGCATAGCTGTGATTTTTAACTTTGTTTTCTGTGAGAGTACAAAATGAGCCCCCGGGTCATGTCCCAATTACAAGTGGAAAGATATTTGATTGATGTTTGCCGTGATTGCTCTGGAGAAGTTTTTTGAAAAAGAATATTTGTAAAATTGAAGGAACATCACTTGGCATTTTCAGTAAACTACGGACGGCTTTTGGTTTTTAAAAAAAAGTTTGGTTCAACCAAGCGCGATTTGATTAAAATAGACTCACAGAAAATGTGCATGAAATGTGTAGGTGTATTTTTAATAAGCTACTGTGAGGCAGAAATTTTTTGAAAGAATTGAAACTATGTAACAACCCTTATTGACTTAAATTGTAGTAGTTGTATCATAAAGTCAGTATATCTATCTGTATATTAGTCGGATATTTATTTGTAAATGTAATTTTTTTTTAAATGAATAAATCTCTTAAATGGGTCTGTATTTTTTTTTTTCCATTTAAGAGCGTGGGTAATCTGTAATTTGATTGCTGCTACACATCACTGCAGACACTGGCGGCATGTACAGAGTTAGTAATGAGGAAACCCTAAAGCTTCATAAACAGTAACAGGTGTTTAATATTTCAGTTTAACCACACTACATACATTTAAATGCAGCACAATAAAACATTATAATTTCAATGTTAAACTTAACAAATGTCTCCAATTGAGGCATACAAAAATTGAGCATTTGAGTTACATAATGATTATATTTTATAATATAAGTCACAGTCACAACAATATAGTTTACAATAAAGGATATACCATATAATAAACATGGAAGCAAATTAAAATAATGCCTGGATGGATTAATTTCAATTGAAATATTTCAAACAAAGGACAAATACAAATATGCTTTCAGAAATCACAAGGCACTGAGATTTTTCTAAATATTTTCATTGTGAAAAAAAATCTAATTTTGTGATGAAACAATACGAAGTCAGAGAGTTTTAATGAATTCCCAAAACTGATCTCTCATAGGGTTCAATGTTGTTTTTTTATGAGTTCTTCTCTGGAATTTGAACTGTAACTGTCTTGATTTCTGTGTAGAGTTGAAGGGCGTACTCTCCTCTGAAAGAAATACAAATTTTTAACAAATTAAGTAGAGAAGACTTTTCTAGACACACTGTTCTCCTGAATTTCATTTACATTTCTACAGTTACAATAAAATTAATTTTTTTTTATTATTAAAGCAAGTTGATATAGATAAAAAAAAGCAGATAAAAAAACATAATTTTTTTAAAATAATAAAAAAAAAACAAAGTGAACATTTTCCTCTGTTCTTGCAAACAATGTTCCAATTATGTCTATAAAGTTTACTAAATGGACATAAATTGATTAAAAACTGAGGCTTGTCATTTCACTCTTGATTAAGTGGCTAAGATAATAAGTTGATATTAACTTAATCTTTGTGTTGATGGTTGATATTAACTTAATCCATGTCTGGATGGTTGATATTAACTTAATCCATATCTGGATGGTTGATATTAACTTAATCCATGTCTGGATGGTTGATATTAACTTAATCAATGTCCAGATGATGTCTGAATATTTTTTGAATGTTTTTATTTTCTTGAAATACTGGAGATGTGAACACAGGCTTGAAAGTCTATGACTTACACTTCTCTGCCTTGTCCGGACTGCTTGAAGCCTCCAAAAGGTGTCTGGGAAGACACTATGTCATAGCAGTTGACCCTGTTTTCAAACAAAATAATTACTTTATTTAAATAGTTAATTAATTTTAGAAGACAAAATTTATTTGACAATTTACATGTGACAATGTCACAAATTTTATTATAAAGGTTGCAATTTTTAACAAAATTCTGATCAATTTATTTGATAGTTACAATTCTCTTTATTTCCTTGCAACATATATAAGTTGTGTGACACTATGGTCCTGATTTGACACATGGGCTAGCACTAGCCATGGTATTGATGTGATTAACAGGGCAGCACTAACTATCATGCTGATGTCACTATCAAGGTAGCACTAACCAGACACTGCCAGCTTGCAGTGATTGTGAAATCTTAAAGGCCTTGTTAATATCATTGGTGATAACGCCAGCTGCAAGACCATATTTTGTGCGGTTGGCCCTCTCAATCACTTCATCAGGGTCACTGAATTTGATGATGCTCTGAACTGGGCCAAAAATCTGAGAGAGCATAAAGAAATGATTATTTCAGCAGTGTACAATTAATGATACAGGATGAGGACCGGAAGTCATGACTTGACTTGTCATGATTTCTATCCCTGAAAAATAAGTAGAGTTCTAGGTTAACCTCAAAACAGGGGGCGCCACTCACTGAAAGCTGTAAACCCTGAAATCCCTTTCTAAAAATTTCTTGAAACCTGAAACTTTATTTACAAATTTTTCAAACCCTGAAACTTAACAAAATTCTAAAATTAATACACTGATTACAAATGAAAGCGAGAGGCTTGCGAACAAAAGCGAGACGTCGCAGTACCTGTTCTATTTATAGCTAACTGGCTCTTGATGAATATATTTTTGGTCGTTTTTTTAAACCCAGAATCCGAGTTTGAATAAACTGAACTGGCAAATCCAGAGCGAGAAAAAATTAAAACCTCACGAATCCGGAGCTGAAAAATATTTAGCCTCAACAATCCGGAATTCCGGGATAATCCGGAAAAGTGTCACCCCTGCATCAATACAAAGAAAAACAAACTTTATATTGTAAATTTATTTTGTCAATATTTGCAAAGAGCAGATCTAGCTGAAAAGATGATACATTTTATTTTGTAAAATACACTTTTTTCTTTGATTAGCAATTCAGTAAATGGATTAGCCGACAGTCACATTACAACAGTGAAAATAATTAACGGCATCAACCATCATGGGATATTAAAGCTAATAGGTAAGTAGGCCCAACTAATTAAGGAATTCTTTTTGTTAATATCTGCATATGGTAGTTCTACGTCTCTAGCTCACCTCATCAGTGGCAATGCTCATGTCATCCTTGACATCAGCAAAAACTGTGGGCTGTACAAAATAGCCTTTGGAGCCAAGTCTTTTACCGCCATAGACCAACCTGGCGCCTTCCTCCTGGCCTTTCTTTATGAAGCCCAGTACTTTTTCAAGCTGACTCTTGTTAATCTAGAGATTTGAGCCATTCATCAGTTCGTTAGTCTATGCTTCTTAAGTCATTTGAAAAAAAATATGTCTAGTCCCAACCCAATCGGAACTTCAAAATTGTTTAAATTCATGCTTAAAAGACTTTGATACTTGTACAATTAAGTCTTTATCTATTTACTTTACTATTAATGTCTTTATTGATTTTGTTCAACATTTTGTTGAATGATCTTCCATATTATATAAAACAAACTTACAATTGGTCCCTGCTGGGTGTTGGGATCAAAAGCATCCCCCACAACTCTGGTCTCGGCGAGCTCTTTTGACTTTTGGACAAACTCCTCATATATCGTGTCTTGAACAAATGTTCGTGAACCGGCCACGCAGTTCTGGCCCACATTCGTCATGATTGCTCCATGGGCGCATTTGACAGCAAAGTCAACTGGAGGAAGAATGAAAATAAAATGTCAGAATCATTAGATGTCAAATTAGGTGTCAGAATCATTAAATTTTAGAATCATTAGAGATTAAAAAAAAAAGGTAATAACCATCTTATGCCCTTCTGTCAAATTCAAGTCTCATAAGAGAAGAAAGGCCATAAGAAAAAAACTCAGCAAAGTCAATATTATATACTCATATACCCTTTTATTAATTAGTTATGTTTCAGAGTTAATATCAGAATTAACAAGCATTTTTTTTTTGCAGAAAAATATAACATTCTACACAATTTTACAATTAGTTGAGCCTACTCACTGTCTGAGTCAGCAAAAATAATCAGTGGACTTTTCCCACCAAGTTCCAGACTCACTCTTTTCAGGTTGCTCTGAGCAGCGGCCAACATTACTTTTCGTCCTGTCTAAAAAAAACAATACAAATTTTTTTGGACAAAATTAGATAATGAAAGGTAAAACTTATATAATTCATACAAAAAAATCCCGAACAGATTGTAAGTTTTAAGCAACTTATTTTTAAAAGATTATTTAGAATGTGTCACTCACTATTGCTGTCTGGAAAAGAAATTCCCCTAAATTAATTAATTCTTCATTTGAACCCTTTTTTACATCTGCAAGTAACACTAACATTAGTAACATTAACACAAGTAACACTAACACATGTAACACTAACACAAGTAACACTAACACAAGTAACACTAACACATGTACACTAACACACTGCTGTTTGGAAACTGTGGACAAATTTCATTCCATCAACACATATTATATTTGTGTGTACCTCAGTTGATCCAGTAAAGGCAACCTTGTCAATGTCCATGTGATTTGTAATGGCCCATCCAGCTGTGTCTCCATAGCCGGGCACTACATTTAGCACACCAGGAGGGAAGCCGGCCTGTTATATTAATTAATAGTATCATAAATTACACTTAAACTTAAATTATGTGAATGAACAATTTTGCCTCGGCAAACTCCATTAAGTGATGTAAATAATGCCTCATGACGTGCAGCGGTAACACTTATTTTAAGGTGATTGTTGGGATGGGAGTCATTTAGGTGACATCATAGTGAAGTCACTGCAGTTAGAGGGAGACAAGATGCCTTACAAAACCTCAATCCACCTATGAAAGACCCTGGAGACAGCCTATGATTTAAATTTTGTATATGAATATTTGTCTTGGAGCCATTGTAACACAATTTCGTTTTAAATTTTGAAAAACACTCTGATAAATAAAGTATACTGATGAGATGAAATTTTTAAAAATTATTTATTTATTCATCCATGACCATGCCTGTATACTTTTCTATATCAGCCCCCTATATACTATATCAGCAACAATTAAAACAATTTCTTAGTGTCATCAACAGAAAATGGAGTATATAATAGTTTGGGACGTTATTACATGCAAATGAAACTTGTAAACTGTCTAGGTCAGGCCGGCACACAATTTGCGGCCCACAAAGTAACGAAACATTATTTATTCTTCTTATTTTTTTAAATAGCTTTCCCCCGTCCTATTTTCTTTCGGCTCGCACAAGTCCTGTCCTATTTCTTTTGGCCCAGACAAGTTTTTCATAAAGTATTACGGCCCGCCTTACATTTTGAGTTGTACAGGCCTGATCTAGGTACACCTCAAGTTTCTTTATGCATTTATTTATCATACTTGTATATATCTGTCTATTGGCGAACCGGGGTAAATTACCAAGTGGGGTAAGAATGAATATCTTGTTGGTTATGAGGGCTCAGTTTTACATAAGAAAAGATGTACATAGAGTCGGTGTGTTCTCTTTTAACTAAGATTAAAGTGTAGTGTTTCTGAGAAAATAAATTATAGTAATTTTATGCATAGTCTTGTTGACCACTTTTTTAAAAAAAATTATAATTTCTCATCAGCTTAATATCTGATCCGTGGCTCATTGGGTGACTACTCGCTATGGATCGACCAATTTTAAGGAATGTTAAATTATGTTCTCTTTTAAGAAGTTTCTACTCATTTTTGATCATAAAAAAAAATAATTAACAAAAATTAACAAAAAAATAAATAAAAGAAAATGGAGATGTCCCTTTCACATATTGGTT